CCACGCCGGCGGAATCAAACGAGCGCGCCGCTGCCGAGGAGCGCCTCGACGCCGGCGTCGACGGCCGTCGCGTCGAGCGGCTCCACCGGAAGTCCGCGGAATACGCCCCGCAGCGACAGCTCGCTCGCGAACAAGACCATGTGGCTGACCGCTCGAAATTCGCATTCGGCCCGCCCCCCCGCGACAAGTCGTCCCAGTCGATCACGCCACCTTTTTTCTTTTTTTTCTTTGTTTGTTGTTTTTTTCGTTTGATTTTTCTTTTCCGGGGGTCCCGCACTCCTCGGGCCAGAGGAGCAGGTCCGCGGCCGCCATGCAGTGGAGCGCGACGAGCGGGTTGCCCGCGCCGTGGAAACTCACGTCGAAGTCGGTTTCGAGGCCGGCCGTGCGGCCGTCGACGAGGTGCGACGCGCCGTCGCCCCGCGCGCCGCCGACGTGTATCCCGACGTCCAAACCCTCGAGGCTCGCCGCGACGGTCTCCGGCGGCGAGTCGCTCAGGATGAGCGTGTGGACGCGGCGCCCCGGGAGCCGCGCTCGCAACTCCGCGACGACGCGGAGCGCGTTCCGCAGGTGCCCGCCCTGGCTCCTCATCGAGATCGAGGCGAGGGCCGTCGCGGAGGCGTTCACGGATAGATCGGGGTGGATCAGGTCGCCGAGGCGCACGTGGACGACGACGCGGAGCTCGCCGTCGGCCGCGCCGCAGTCGACGAAGGCGTCGTGGTCGACGGCCGCGTAGGCCTCGGCGACCGCGCGCCTCTCCCACGCGGGGTCGTCCGCCGGCGGGAGCGCGTCGAAGCCGAACCACTCGTCGAACGGCGGCGCGACGAAGCACTCGAAGTGGTCCCGGAACACCGCGTCGCCCGTGGGCCAGCGGCACAGTTTACACTGTGACCTGACCCAATCTCGTTCGTGGCAGTAGAGCGACGGTGCGAAGCCGTCGTAGAGGCCGTCGACGTCGCGCAGGTAGGCGCCACTGTGACCCACGTACTCCTGGAAGTAGCGCGCGCCCGGCGGCCCGCGGCGGTCGGCGATCTTTTCGACGACGGCGCGTCCGACGTGGCCGAGGCCGTCGGTTGGAGTGTGTGTGTGATGAATTTTTTTTCGACACTTGCTCGGAAAGTAGTGATTCAAGTCGGATGGAGCAAACGTCGATCCGCGCTCGCAGACGTGCTTCGACACGAGGGCAAAGTCGGGCGAGATCGCCGGCGCCGCCAGCGCGAGGCGCCACCATGACGTGTTCGACATGTCTCGCTTGCCGGCGGGCTTGCCGGCGGGCCTGCCGGCGGGCTTGCCGGAGGGCTTGCCGGCGGGCTTGCCGGCGGGCCTGCCGGCGGGCTTGCCGGCTGGCTTGCCGGCGGGCTTGCCGGCGGGCTTGCCGGCGGGCCTGCCGGCGGGCGTGTCCAGCGTGACGCGCCCCGCCGCCGCCGCCGCCGCGAAGGCGATCGCGCGGATGAGGTGCATGGTTGAATCTGCGGGGGAATCGATGCGATCGGGACTTCGTCTCCGGAGCGAGCAACCTCGTCGTCGAGTGGAAAGATGGGTGGTCGTCGGAACGCGGGGCGGGGCCGACGGCTCGCGGATCGAAGACGACTTTCTTCGGCGACGAACGACCGCGGGCCCCCGGCGCCGGGACCGCTCCCCCCACCGGGCGTTCACGATGGTCGAGGCCATGAGGCGG